TTACGTTGCAAAGTTTACCTATAAGGCGATCATTACTTTTGTCAAAGACCGTACATATTCAGAGCGATTGAAAATGGTAGACTTTGTCTTGGAAATTGGAAGGGTTGCATAAACTTAGAATTTTTAGTGACAATTAATGATAAAAATGGTGGCCGGAAATGTTCATCAATTGTCATTGTTTAATGTTTAATGAGCTGCATTACACTACAATCAGTGGCCATGATATTGTCAATCTAAGTGTGACAATTTTGTCCTGGGCGCGAAAAGATTCCTTAAAAAGCACGCGTTGACGTCAACGATCTTATCAGTCATAACTCATGCTGTTTAAAATAGGTTGAAGTTGTTTAATTGTACTTTATTGGTACAATTACAGGGGTTCAAAGGTGTTTATAGTACGTCTAATTCAAGTAGAAGTAGCTATACTATAGGTACATAAACGTTCTGAATAAAAACATTTCTATCGAGTGTGATAACGCCTAACTTTCATGATATCACTACTAGCTTATCTTGAGCATGTATTTATAGTCATTTTTGCAACACTTCCTTAAAAAAAGTTCTCATGCACTTAGATGTACCTACTACAGTTGATAACACCATTTCGATTTCCCGTACACATTTACTAATTTTCCTCAGGAAATACGATACCTACTTATGATCATACGCTCAGAAATATGACATTCTACAAAAAATAATTTAGCTACTTTAGTTTTCAGGCTTTAATATTATGATCAATAGCATTTTAAACAAATCGTAATAGAGGTATTTCTTAAAAAACATATACCTACTTAAAGCTAAAGCAAAATCCAAAAAAATGGCTCATCTGACTCCGCATATCTGACAATTTGCTTGCTTTATCTCCTCTTTTTGAGATAGTAAAAGAACTTAATTGGGTGATATATGCATAGACATATATACATTGTACCAAAATCAGAAGGGTACACTGGGCCAAAACCAAAAATGCATTCCAAGATCAGATTATGCTGGGTCAGAAACAGAAGATTACAGAAGACGCAAGTCGCAGAAGGTTACATTGAATCAACTCAGTCCAGATTAGGTTAACAACAATGGGCCAAAATCAGACGGGTACGTACCATGGATCAAAATCAAGAGGGATACAGGACCAAAATCGTAAGCGTTAAATGAGGTCAATATGAGGGTACAGTACGTGGGCCGAAGTTAGAATCTAAGGTGATGTGACGACGAATTGCAATTTGTGTAAAACCAAACAATTCTGGTAGAAATGTGATGATCGGCACATAAAAGACAGGAAGGGGATTGCGTAGGCCCTAGCGATCAGGGGCGCCGACTTATCAAAATTTATGTGGGTGCTCACCAAGCCAGAAGCCTCACATATTATGTCCACAGATAGATATAACCGTCTATCGTAGGTGTAGTCTTTTTTTGTGTATGAAAGAAATTCTATTAACCAAGTACCGAGTAGATTTTTAAGTTTTTATTTTCGATTTATATAAAAACAAGTTGTAAATCAGCATATGCATGATTAAAGCGCATTTTTGGTAATGCAGGTCAGTATTTTATTAGCGAAGTTTAAAATTATCGATCTCACGAGTAATTTTGGCTGCCTTAAATCATTAATTTTATTTAATTTCAATTGACTGTAGGTACGTCTTCATTTTGTAAAACAAATCACAAAGTAAATAATAAGTTTTTATACTGGTAGCGCTATCTAACGGTAAAATTATAGCACCTCCGAAACCCATATCGAAATTATTATCTTCAATTATCGATCTCACAAGTAATCTAACTCAAAATAGACTAGTGCCTGCACATCTACACTATAGCAGAGAGCTTTTAGTGAAAATTTGAATTCTCTAGCTATTGTAGTTGTGGAGATCTCACGCGGACAGCCGGCCTGCCAGCCATAACGAATATAATAGCGTATTTTTTTCAAAAATGCGCTAAAAACTTTATTTTTATTGCATGAGGCATAGATTATGAGAATAAAAGTCTTTAAATAACTTTAATTTTATTTATATTAAAGGTTAGGTAAGCGTAAGCAAAAAATAATCTGCATATGCATGCGACACCTTCGTTGATGCGTCAAGCATTTGATACCGTTAATCTTAATTTGCAACAGCTTCTCAGTTTTCATATCCTCTGTTTTACAATAGGTAGTACTATACCTACACATGACAATTATTAAATGTGTGTAGTTATAGGTAGGTAGGTACTGTTAATCTTTGTCATTAAAAATAAACTAAGGAATTAAATTTAAGAAGTCGCATAAGCGTTTTCAAAATCGCCCAATTTGCGATATATCGTAAATGTGAAAAAATAGGAGCAATTATGAATATTGTATCGCCCATTTTGCGATAAATCGCCCACGTTGGGAACCCCGGACTGGGACCTGGCCTGGGACTGCGGCTTTGAAAACTTCATGTACCGAATACATAGGTACCTATTATTTCATTTTTCATAAGAATTAATGATGGCGATCGACGATGTATGTAACGGATGACGGATGTAATTTCATTTCGATAATTCGATATCATAAACATGCTGTACGATCTGTACAGATTCTACAAATGTAGTCACATTCAAATTCAACAACTACTGTAGTCTGTACGCCGTACGGAAAATATTTATAGAAATCTTTCCTGCTATTTCGTGTGAGTAAAGTAAAAAAATATATCTAAATTTCTTCGTGTTTAGTAACCATCGAGAAAAAAGACCTAAATAGACAAATATCATCCGGAAAATTCTGTGGGTGCATCGCACCCACATAACTTTTTCTGTGGGTGCTTAAGCCCCGAAGCACCCACGTAGTCGGCGCCCCTG